TGAGAGGAGTATCAGTTGTACTTTTGTCATGTTTTGTGATTGTAGGCTCTTAGGGCGAGGTAATAAAAATGAGCTATTATCTTTTCAAAGCATGTGATCACTTGACGAAGTCACATGTAACATAGGCGATTTAAGCCATGTGATCATCAGTCCATACAACATTGATCTTTTATGTTATTTGGTTATTTAACCTGGATCTGAAACCTCAAACACATACCCAGGGTCAATTAACATAGATATCTGTTGACCTCGAAAATTGGACCTTCTACATGGCCAACTGATAGCTACTCCACGTATTCCTCCCTGCATACAATCGACGCACGATCAGACGCACACGACCGAGACCAGCGGGGGTGGTGGCGGCCGTATAAACTCCGACAGTCAAGTCAGGTCAAGTGGTCGGAACAGTACCCAGAGGTTGTGTCAAAAACACTAAGAGGGAGGAGAAAATATATAAACTTGCTATGGAGTGCTATGTAATAAGAGTTTCATTACTTTTGTCTCTTGCCAAATTTTGGGTATTTATAGGTGGGATGAACCGTTGGATGTGGGACACGTTTATACATCTGACGGTATGAGGCGTCCGCTCATAGGCGTCAATCAGCCGCATCTATAGAGTGGGCGAGCAGTTTGTTTCTCCCGAGTTGAGTTGACATAAAGTTGATAAGTCACATCAACTAGCCTCATGGAGACGTCAAATCAATTTAAACCTTAGGTGCAGAGAAGATCTTGGCAAAAATCTCTTTCTGAAATTGGCGGCGGATCTTCTGACAGAGGTCCACTTCGCCTCGGTCTCAGGGACGAGGGCGCTTCGGTCAATTCAGCAGGATCGCCTATGTCTCGCAGCATTGGTGAGATCACTTCGGAAACACTTTGAATGGGTGTCTATTAGGTCAGAATGTGTGGTGGTGGGCATTCCAAGGCGGTTCAGTTAGGGGCGTAATAGTGGTCCGCTACTCCACGTATTCCTCCCTGCACACAATCGACGCACACGGCATGGACCAGCGGGGGTGGTGGTGACCGTATACACTCCAACGGTCAAGTCAGGTTCAGGTGGTCGGAATAATACCCAGAGGTTGTGTCAAAAACACTAAGGGGGAGGAGAAAATATATAAACTTGCTATGGAGTGCTATGTAGTAAGAGTTTCATTACCTTTGCCTCTTGCCAAACCTTGGGTATTTATAGGTGGAATAAACCGTTGGATGTGGGACACGTGTATACATCTAACGGTATGAGGCGTCCGCTCATATGCGTCAATCAACCGCGTCTGTAGAACGGGTGGATAGTTTGTTTCTCCCGAGTTAAGTTAACATAAAGTTGATAAGTCACATCAACTAGCCTCATGGAGACGTCAAATCAATTTAAACCTTAGGTGCAGAGAGGATCTTGGCAAAAATCTCTTTCTGAAATTGGCGGCGGATCTTGTGACAGAGGTCCACTTCGCCTCTGTCTCAGGGTCGAGAGCGCTTCGGTCAATTCAGCAGAATCGCCTATGTCTCGCAGCATTGGTGAGATCACTTCGGAAACACTTTGGATGAGTGTCTATCAGGTCGGAATGTGTGGTGGTAGGCATTCCGAGACGATTCAGATAGGGGTGTAACAATATCTATGCTACCTAGTCATTTTGCATTACTGAAGTTTTCATGGGCTCTTCATCTACAGTAGTTATTATGAAGTTTCTCTCTCTAATTTTCATGTTTTCCATCTGTACTCATGTCTTTAACCATGTCAACTCACACATTCCTTGCACCATTGCTCTAAACTGGGCTTCAGCAATAGATATTGTTACCACGGATTGTTTCTTACTCCTCCAAGTAATTTGATTTCCTCCAATAAATTCCAGATATTATCTGTCTTCTATAGAGTCTGCCCAGTCAGCATCCGTATAAGCTTAAACTTGAAGAAGATAGTTCTTCATGAGAAGTCATTCATTTCTAGGTGTTCCTTTTAATACCGTGCATATATTGTTTAACTACGTTTACAGCAAATCCAATATCAAGCCCAGGGTCTACTGTGAGACAAATATGAACTTACCAACCAATTTTCAGTATCGACCCTTGTCAATTATAGCACTCTCAACAATAGTTCCCCAAGTTATGTTTCTGGTCAATTGGACCATCTCCTGGTTTGCAACCTAGCACACCTGTTTTGAAGAGATCTGAGGTTTACTTTCTCTATGACAAAAAACATACCCCTTTTAGATCTTGCAATCTCAGTGCTATAAGTTACCTTAATGTTATATTTTAAAGCAAGCGTTCTTTTAAGGTTCCAATTTCATTAGATAACTCACACACTTCATTAAATTTGCTGCTTCAGATTTTCCTTGAGCAAGTAGACCCAACTGACACAAGTATGATCATCTAGAATGTAATAAACCATCTAGCAGCAGAAATATTGTTGATACGTTAATGCGCATATCACTATGTACCAAGGAAAAAGGCTGTGACTTCTTATATTTTTGGGAAGGAAAATGAATTCGATAATGTTTAGATAACTCACACGCTTCACATTGAAAATCCTGGGTATCCTTATTTTGAAGCAAAGTAGGAAACAACCTTTTCAAACAAGGAAAGTTTGGGTGACCCATTGTTTTATGCCGGAGATAAAATTCTTGATTTAATACAGAGAAGAACTTGAGTGTGCAAGAGATGGCTAAAAACACTAAGGGGGAGGAGAAAATATATAAACTTGCTATGGAGTGCTATGTAGTAAGAGTTTCATTACCTTTGCCTCTTGCCAAACCTTGGGTATTTATAGGTGGAATAAACCGTTGGATGTGGGACACGTGTATACATCTAACGGTATGAGGCGTCCACTCATATGCGTTAATCAACCGCGTCTGTAGAACGGGTGGACAGTTTGTTTCTCCCGAGTTAAGTTAACATAAAGTTGATAAGTAACATCAACTAGCCTCATGGAGACGTCAAATCAATTTAAACCTTAGGTGCAGAGAGGATCTTGGCAAAAATCTCTTTCTGAAATTGGCGGCGGATCTTGTGACAGAGGTCCACTTCGCCTCTGTCTCAGGGTCGAGAGCGCTTCGGTCAATTCAGCAGAATCGCCTATGTCTCGCAGCATTGGTGAGATCACTTCGGAAACACTTTGGATGAGTGTCTATCAGGTCGGAATGTGTGGTGGTAGGCATTCCGAGACGATTCAGATAGGGGTGTAACAATATCTATGCTACCTAGTCATTTTGCATTACTGAAGTTTTCATGGGCTCTTCATCTACAGTAGTTATTATGAAGTTTCTCTCTCTAATTTTCATGTTTTCCATCTGTACTCATGTCTTTAACCATGTCAACTCACACATTCCTTGCACCATTGCTCTAAACTGGGCTTCAGCAATAGATATTGTTACCACGGATTGTTTCTTACTCCTCCAAGTAATTTGATTTCCTCCAATAAATTCCAGATATTATCTGTTTTCTATAGAGTCTGCCCAGTCAGCATCCGTATAAGCTTATACTTGAAGAAGATAGTTCTTCATGAGAAGTCATTCATTTCTAGGTGTTCCTTTTAATACCGTGCATATATTGTTTAACTACGTTTACAGCAAATCCAATATCAAGCCCAGGGTCTACTGTGAGACAAATATGAACTTACCAACCAATTTTCAGTATCGACCCTTGTCAATTATAGCACTCTCAACAATAGTTCCCCAAGTTATGTTTCTGGTCAATTGGACCATCTCCTGGTTTGCAACCTAGCACACCTGTTTTGAAGAGATCTGAGGTTTACTTTCTCTATGACAAAAAACATACCCCTTTTAGATCTTGCAATCTCAGTGCTATAAGTTACCTTAATGTTATATTTTAAAGCAAGCGTTCTTTTAAGGTTCCAATTTCATTAGATAACTCACACACTTCATTAAATTTGCTGCTTCAGATTTTCCTTGAGCAAGTAGACCCAACTGACACAAGTATGATCATCTAGAATGTAATAAACCATCTAGCAGCAGAAATATTGTTGATACGTTAATGCGCATATCACTATGTACCAAGGAAAAAGGCTGTGACTTCTTATATTTTTGGGAAGGAAAATGAATTCGATGATGTTTAGATAACTCACACGCTTCACATTGAAAATCCTGGGTATCCTTATTTTGAAGCAAAGTAGGAAACAACCTTTTCAAACAAGGAAAGTTTGGGTGACCCATTGTTTTATGCCGGAGATAAAATTCTTGATTTAATACAGAGAAGAACTTGAGTGTGCAAGAGATGGCTTACCTGAACCAATAGATTTACCCTTGAAGTAATAAAGTCTATTGATCTCCTTTCCTGTATTAATCAACTCAGGGAAAAACTTAAAGTGATTTGCTAATTGAAAGAAGATTGCAAGACAATTTTAGAACTTGTAGAGTGAAGTCCTACGTAGCACGGACACTCTAACTAGGGTAGCTTCTCCGACACGTGTGGATACCGACATTTTTCGGACACTCTACAATAATTATTTTCCTTTGTTACTATAACTATTATATATTTTTAACTCAAAGTTATTAGTAAATAATAAATAAGTACTCATATTTAAAAGATTTCAACAAAAAAAATTAATAATAAATATAAAACTAAATTTGAACTATATAAATGAAGAATTTTAAAGAATTTAACGAACGTGTCGACGACGTATCGTGTCGGTACTTTTTTGAAAAATCACGAGTCCACGTATCCAACACGTATCGTGTCGGTGAATCATTGAAGTCCAGTGAAAGAGATTTTGAAATAGGAATTCATTGTATTTCAGCAATAGATGATAGTAAAGGATCTGCAACATCAACATTTTTGTCTACCTGAACAAGAGGTATAGGAAACAAAACAAGTTTGAATGTGGCTTAGGATCAATGACCCATTTAAGCAAGTCAAGTGAGCAAATGCACGAAAGGATAAGATATTGACATGTCGAAACTGACAGAAAAGAAAGCACAATTGGATTAGAAAGTGATTGATAAATAAGATGACAAACAAGAGTCCAACAACATTAAAACTATCCAGGATAAGCTTGAAAGAGTCTAGAAATAGTCTAAACCGGTTTACAATGTCTAAGAGAAGAATGAACCGTCATTGAACTGGTAAAAACTGCCATAAAACAATTTGACCAGCCTTCTAAACATCTGAACTGGACTGTGGACTGAACTCGCCTGAAATGTGCTGGACTTGCTTGGAAAAAGGCTGAAACAGACTGGAGCAAAGGCTGAATTGGCCGGAAATGTGCTGAACCGGTCTAAAATAGAGAAAAACAACTGTTTGCTAAAGGAAGACTTCCGGCATAAAATGGTCTGTAAGAAGACTAAAAATTTCAGAAATTTAGGCTGGAAAACAAATTAGCACCATGTGGAAAGTCTGAATTTCATTTCGACGCCTCGATCATTATTAAGGGACAGGTATATATACACATTTCTCTCCTACATCTAAACATACTGACACATGATTAAGCCTACAATTAAGCCTAGTCCATTACATCTGTGATAGCCATAATTATAGCAATTGACAACCATAATTACAGCAATAAAATATATGTTTTCCACAACATGGATGAACAGATTTCATCATCTATTCGTTTTGCATAACGTACATAAGCAACCTTTTTTTTTGTCCCCCTATTTGGACATCCCCATCTAAAAACTGGCATCTATTTCAATTTATCTCTTTCTTTTCAATTCATATCTGGCTTTGTCTGTAATTTCCAAACTTTGGCCTATCTGAGTTTGATTGAGTTGATTGAGTTGCTTAACGTCTTTTTGTTGCCATAAGTTGTGATGCAGGAGTATAGCTGGGTATGGGAAGATGGTGATGACAGGTAAATTTCACTTCTATGTTGCTGTTACGAAGGGAGAAAATGAGCTGGACATTTTAGCTCAAGCCATGTCTATGCTTATGATAGAAAGTTCCTACTAAAATTATCCATTTTTGTATATTGAAAGTCTTTCCAATCTGTTAAAAATTTGATACATCAACATCCTGTTGTTGTGGTACCGATTGAGGTTCCAATAGAATAATATGCTCGATTTCCGTATAGAGAGGGTTAGAAGGAATTGCATAAGTAAAAGATTTCTTTTTGTTTATTGTTGGGGGTACTGTTCACAGCTGTGAAAGTGTTGTGCGAATCAGAATGCAAGGGGTTTAAGAATTCAGTGTGTTGTGGATTAATTAATTATTGGGTCGGACCGGGCCGAGCCTATTTGGGTTTATATAAATACATAACTAGGGTTTGAGGTCCATTAAGATTTTCATTATTCCTGCTAGCACAAGAGAAAACCCTAGAGGCTGCAATCATTTTCTCTGTGTGGATCACCGTTGGAGGCTGGACAATTGGACAGCTGTGGTGACGAATCAAAGTTGTGGAACAAAAAGAAAAGCAAAAAGATTGCAGATCTGGAAAAGGTACAATCTTATCACAATTACTAACCAAACACAATGAGATCTATTGGGTGGGAATCGAAAAAAATTTAATTTTCCGCTGTGCATGTATAAGTAGATTCCCAACAGTGGCATCTTTGAATAGTATTCACAAAGAGAGTTGGGGCTCCTAATGGATCACTAAAAATTAGAATTTAGAGTTGTAGGGAAAGAGAGTGGTAAATTGGAAGGTGTGATTGTTATTGGTGCAGAGAGCTATTCTTTGTTTCCTGAAGATTTTTTGTGATTTCTTTATTTTCTTCATACTCCCAGATATACGTTTCAGTTATAGTTTATAGATTGTCCATGTTTCTTTAGTTATACATTCTCCTTAACATTTTTTTACCCTTACAAGCCCTTGTGAACATGAACGGGTAACTGATGAAGAAGATGAGTGCTCAATGATGATGGGTGGTACTGGGGGATCTGAAAACAAATTGGAGATTGATAGTGGTAAGAGATCTAGTTCTGTACTTCTTGTGGCAGCAAATTCAGTGGAAGCTAAAAGCTGCGAGGCAGCGAAACAAGGTTAGAAGACACGGCAAAAGCCTTTTCACTGAATTTTAACACTGGCACAGGTTCGACTTCAACGAAAAAAACACAGCATAGGGAAAGGCAAAAGTTTCTGGTAGAAAGCAAGTCACACACAAATCTGTTACTAAACTATTTGCATCAAAGGAAGCACAGGCCGAAGTAGCCAAATATGAGGTACGAACGGTTTTCTCTACGTATTCTCTCTGGTGAAAAACCGCTTGCATAATTGTCTCTTTATCTTCTCCTTAGTTTGTGTTTCCGTGCATCCAATTTTCCACGGGAGTAATGAGTATCTTGTTTGGGAGTGTTTGTAAGTGATTATAAATTATGGATCCTAACAAATGTGTGGATAAAAAATCTGTTTGATCAAACATGCACTTGCCTTCTGATGTAGAATTATATTTTCCTTCATTTCCAATGCTTATTGCGCGTATAATTGTGCAGGAAATAAAAAATTAAGCCACAGCCGATCTAAATTCCTTGTACGATGAAATACGTCCTGCCATTGAAGAAGGCAAGTGGGACAGTCAGGAAGGTGTAGCTACCAGCATATCAGAAAAATGGATAGATGCAACCTGCGCTAAGTATGAAGCAGATTTCGACTTCCATTTCTCCATTATCAAGAATTTCATGTGCCCAAAAAATCTGGCTGGAGGCGAAGCCAGGTCTACAGCAGGGGGAGATTGCCTGAAGAAATCGAATTGATTCACATATTACGATTTTCATTTGTGCCCTCCAAGACTAGCTCGGATTTTAATTTCCTAATAAGGACGTAGAAAATTCCATCGTTGAGACTTAAGATGGTTAAACGCAGTTGTTGAACTCATCGTTGAACGCATTTTGTACGTATTGAATTGATCAAGCACTCTGCTAACTTATCCTGTGTTTGAATTACTGTTGTTTATTTCCTGTTTAATGGTGGTGGTTTTTTTTTTTTTTTTTTTTTTAAC